ACTAGCCCTGGATCCCTCCCACTGCAAAGGCTCCTATTATGGGTGTTGGTCATTGCCCCAACTTTCCCAGTCTAATCTGCACCAAGGAATCCATGTTCCCTTGTCCCCCTTGGACCACCACTGACAGGCTTCCTCCCTTACCTGGAGCCTTAGAGAACCAGAACACTCTCAGCAGAAAGATTTTTCTGGCTTTACTGAAATATTCTATTTTCTTTTTAATATTTATTTTTTTAGTTATAGGTAGACACAATATTTTATTTTATATTTATGTGGATCTGAGGATCGCACCCATTGCCTCATGCATGTCAGAGGAGCGCTGTACCTCTGAGCCACAACCCCCAGCCCAGCTTCCACCCCTGAAGGATTCTATTTTCAACAGTCTTTTTTCTGTAACTCACTTCCAAAAAAAAAAAATACCTGAGTCCCGAGAGGGTATAGATTTGCATCCCACAGTTTCCTGCCCACCCAGTCCTGGCTCCTCCACAGGCCCATCTAGGTCTTAAATAGGGTCTAGGTCTTACACACTACTCATCTTTGTCTCTCACCTAAGTAGTCACAAACCCATATTATCTAGTGTGACATTTTCCTCATCTGGGCACGAGGAAACTTCACATCACTACATACATACATGTGTGAGATTCCTGCTGCTGTTTCATGCAGGGCTTCTCCTCAAAGAAGCAGCTACATTATGTCATCAGACTGTGAGCAGGAATATTTAGCAGACTTTGTCCTTTGTAATTACAAAATCAGGCATTAGTGGCCAGTCACCACATGAGTTACATGGACCACGATCCCTCTGGCAAGGCATTGTGTGGACACAGCATGTTGGTAGGGACAGGAGTGTGTCTTTGGACTTGGAGAGTTGCTGGCCAATTTCCTCCTCTGGTCCTGTGAGTGGCTGCTGCCCTGGCCTGACCTGTACCAGGGAGCATCAAACATGCAGATCCTAGGGGAATCTGGTGGGAGAGAGGAGGAGGTTTGGAGTTTTCAAGTTTTTCTTATGGAAACCAGCTCAGATCTACCACATTCTAGAGTGAGATCTTGAGCCTGGGGGAGGGAAGGCTCCGGTGATGTGGGAGCTGGGGAGATGTCAACAATAGCAGGAGAACTGTGGACCTGACTGCCTCCTACCTGCACCCTGAGGCACAGAGTGAACTGGGACAGTCAGAGAGCTCCATAGCACCCAAGAGCGGGCCCATTCTAGGGTAGAGAGAAGATTTAAACCCAGCATGACCAACATCAACCTTTACCAAATATCATGACTTGGGCAAGCCAGATATATCTAGCTTAACTTTCCATAGGCTCCTTACCTTGATCCCCAACTCTAGGTGGGACAACAAAACTTATATGGTCTGAACTCATAGTTCCCCTCCATACGTCCGTTTCTCCTTTCATGAATGGTGATTCTTTATGTCATTTCTTGTCTTCTCAAGTATGAGATCCTTGAGGATGGGAAACTTTAGTTCCATTCCCACAGTCCTCCTAGTGCATGACATGACCTGGCACAGTGAGTGCAATGGACACTCTTGCCCCATTAGCCCAAAAGACATTCTTCTGGAAGAAGGTAGGGCGGAGAAGATGGTGGCAAGTCACAAGAGCCTGGAGAGCCTGGAAGGATAGGCTGTGAGCTGGTGGAGTGATAGTGGTGGTGGGGATAGGGACAAGGGATGGGCAGAAAGATTGAGAAGTGAATGTTGACAGATCAGGCTCCCTCCA